TATATATATATATATATATATATATATATATATATATAATACACATCATTCAAAATCAGAGAGTTCCATATATATTTTCAGTTAAAAACAATACCTACATGCAGTAAACATAATGAACAGTTGCAATTTAAAAGTAAAATAGGCCAAATCAAGAAGAAAGTGTGCATGTTAAAGTAGCAAACGTGTAACCCACAGAATGAACAGACTTGTTGAAGTGCTGATACCCCTTTGTCAGTTCGCCCAGCAACTGTTGCACAACCTTCAACAGGTAAAGATTTGTCTCTCAGCTGCTGAGCTTTTTTGTCATCCACAAATTTCCCAAGAACGCTTTCAACTGACCTGACGAAGTTAACCAGTTGAATGCCCAGTGAAAATTACATAATAAAACCATTTTTGATCACCGCACGATAGTAGTGCATTCACAATCATATGAATCAGTTACCGATAAATTCAAGGAAATTATAGTATACTGTTGTCCATTGGGCCATCCCTTCTTATGGAATGGACGTAATAGAAAGAGTGTTTTGTTGAGCAACTGTTGGGGGACATGTACAGCTCTAGTGGGTCACACTCTCTCATCATCATCATCCATCATTTAAACGGATGGCTATGACCCAATGGACTATGGTTTTGCCATAGTCAAACACATTATGATGCACTTTCCCTTCTTCCGAAGTATGAAAGAAATATCGTCGAATTTACCCTTGAACAGTTCTCAGGCCTGGTTGCTTTTGCCACCCATCAAAGGAACTCCCATGGTATGAAACAACTATTTTAAATGTCCTTCTTGCCCATCTCCCACCCCTAGAATCCTTGTAAGTCTCAGCTGATTCAATTTCCTTGCATGCATGAGTTTCTTCAATCACATCCTCAAACATATTTCCCTGTTAAAAAGAATGGAAGTTAAACAGGCCACATTCATAAGAAAATCAACAAATTCCAGTATAGCTTTAGAGTGATAGAACTCGATTGCAGAACTATATTATACAGTGTTTTCAGACTCGGCCGAGTCCGAATTACTCATACTCATCACCTTGGCGAGCCAAGTTACCCTACAAACTTGATGTGTATATAATTTGGATGTTTTTGGTAAAGATTGTTGAGGTTTTCTTGCCATATGCCATACTTTTATATTTTTTTGGATTTTTTAAAATGTCCCCAACTATAAGTCAATTTTTTTAAATCCATGTTTTGTATACCTTTTTAGGCTTATTTAGACTTTTAGGTTCTTTTTGGTTTTATTTGACCTTTACTATTTTTCTTTTATCTTTTAGATTTTTATTTTTATTTATTTTTCCAAGGGCTTTTGGGCACTGTACAGTAACCGACGAGTCCATTTGGACTTGCCCACATAACTTACCTCGGACAAGGGTGAGTACCTGGCCCAAGGCAAGTCTGAAAACACTGATATTATAGTTTCCCCATGTACACATGCATCATAAAACTAGTGGTTTTAGAAGAAGAAATTGCCGAAGGATTCTAGAGATAAAGAATTATGGACATACCTCAACAACGAACATGCTAGACAATGACAAACGCCGGTCTACCAAACAAGAATAGAAATCCACAATATGTTGCCATGGTCTATCATACATAAACTGGTAGGACTCCCTGGCAATAAAAGGATTTATTAAAAGAGATGGATGATTTCTCAACCTAATATATATATATATATATAGAGAGAGAGAGATATAATGAGACCATTTACTTTTGGCACCGGGAGGTCACAATTACTTATAACCATTTGATGTGAAATTTGATAGCTTGGGTGTATCACAAAGTTTGAGATTTTTTTTTTGAACTTTGAGCTTGGCCAATGAAATAAATGCAGCCACCCAATTTCACATCCACATAGTCAAGATCAGTTGTGACCACCTTGTACCAAAGGTAAATGGTCTCATTGCATACCTTAGTAGTATGTTTTCCAACTGAAATTCTGGAGCAGGAAGAAAATGAATTCTTCAATGCAACAAAACAACATAAAGAAGTTGAGAAACTAGTAAAACAACCTAAGCGAATATCAAGCAAAAGCTAAAAATAATTCAGCACGAAATACCGGTGATTAACATGAATACAGGTGAGAAAAATAGGAATTACACTTTCTCAATTAAAATGACTTGCCACAAAATACATAAAAGAGATATTTGATAATTATATAAACCATGGTGAACATAAAGGAGTTTATCAACCAAATTCAGCATATTACAGAAGGAAGAGATTGAGAAGATCCCAAAAATCAAACAAATAGAAAATTTTTCCAGCTTGCAACTCTTGCAAATTGCAAAATAAACTAAAATTTTCAAAAAAAAATATAGAGAGAAATACTAGGGCAATAAGAAAGGTCGTAAACTACTTCAGTCAATCAAATACATAAGACTCAGAACACAAACATAATATTTTCACAAATACTACTGTTTCATCTCGATCTTCAATGGTGAACCCTAGAATAGAGATTGAATTTCTCTGCGTATACATACAAATCAAAAGATTAGGAGGAAATGAACTAAGAAAAATGAGGGGTTTACCTGGAAGTCCACCTGTTAAATTTACAGTAATCATCGTGCCCATAATGAACGTAAATTTTGTTACTGGAATCAGTTTCCATAGAAGAGGAGGCCCTCATTATTCCATTAATTACTGTAAATACTCCTCTTCTTCTAATTCTCAGCATATATCACACTCAATAAATATTAATGGCAGCCCGTAAAGCACTACTAAAAACGCCAGAAAATAGTCAGTAACTCTCCATTAATTTTTAGCTTCAGGCTCCAACCCCAGAATCCGGCGAAACGTGAACTTTGCCAGCCAAGTTTCGCCGGAAAAGTCAGAGGGAGGACTTCGAGTCAAATAGGGCGCGCTGGTATAATCTAGGACGAATTTGTAAATATCGCTTGGGGGGTAGTTTGGTTATTTTGGGCATATTGCGGTGACTTATATGTAATTTGTGGAGTTCTGTAATTGCTCACAGCGCGGAAAATTCAGTGGGAGACTTCTTTTCTTTATTGTGGATTATACTCCCGCGGGAGCATAATTTACATTTACTCCCTAAATAAGAAAAAAAAATTGAATTTTGAGTCCTTTTAGTACTCAGATCACACCCTCTAAAATTTAGACTGTATCTATTCAATATTGAGACATTATTTATTTATTTATTTTCAAGTGTATCTAGGGTGAAATTGAATTATTTTTTTATTAATAAGGGTGAAGAGGTTACATCCTTAATATTTAAGGTACTAAATCAACCCAATCAGCTGGCATTTTACATTTTTCTTAACGGGTTTTAAACCCGAGGCTTTTTTGAATTTTTGGAAAATAATTTTTATCGACATGATTAAATTAAAAAGCATATTTTTGACAAAGATGCTACTTTAATAAAATCATTTGCCTCAATTGACTCTATGAGTATCTGCAAATGCTCAAAAATAAAAAATGCTTGAGTCCTTAACAAGCATGGGTACCTGGATTGCACAACCAAAATAACCTTGGTTATATAAATTTTATGCCTAGAACAAAATATTTTTTAACAAAAATAATATATATTATAGTTTTGGAATCTCAAACAAGTCGGAAATAGCTTAGTCATTTATTTTGTGACTATTAAATTGAGTCAAATAACGTAAATACCTCAGCTTGATCCATAGTCCATGCAAATGATCAAATGCTATAGCCTAACAAAACCCTTTAATCATATTTTCTCTCATACTTTTGGGTGTACATAGAGGAAAAAAAAGGGCAGTAAAAAAAGACAGGAAAAAAAAAATGGAATATAAAGAATTTGAAAATAAATCAAATATAAAGGAATATTGAAACTGTTTGGTTTGAGGTAAGATTTCTCTAGTGAAGAGATATTTCTGATGATCAAGTCTCTCTCTCACGTTTGTTTCATTGGAAAGAGAGAAAAACTAGAATGTGAACACCACTACATAAAACAACATGGTCCTGGGGAAGTAGCATGGGGGTATAAAGCCCATTTTGATTTTCTAGACAACTTTTTTACTATTCTCTTTTTTTTTTTTCAACTTTTATATTAAAATATGCATTTCTAATAACTACCCCCGTAAAAAATAAAAATAAAAAAAGATCAAAATGCCCTCCCTTTAGTTAAAACGCCTCTCGCTCCTCTTTCCTGCCCACGACCTAATTTTTTAAAGGCGGTCAGGCACTTTATAAAGGTGGTCTCGCACAAAATTTTTGTGGAAAAATAAGGGATCTGGCAGTTTATAAAGGGGATCTAACAACCGGGTTTTAGAAAAAAAATGGGGTCCGACATTTTATAAAGGCTGTCCTGCATACTGATCACAAGGTCCGACAATATGTTCACTTGGTCCAGCATAACCATGTCCCAGTCCGGCAATATTGGCCTAAGGTTTTCTTCATGCAGTTGCGATACTTTATTCTCTCGGTCCTGTTCGTGAGTCCACATCATGTCTGGCCCAACATAATTTTTTATGTATGGGAAAGGCATTTTTGTCAAAAATATAACTTTTTGACTTAACGGTATTTGCTATAAAAACTCATTTTGGGGTAAAAATTGTGAAAAAAAAAAAACTTGAGGTTGTCTAAAAAGTCTACTTTTGAGAGGTTTTTGTAATTTTTTTTTAAAAAAAAATCCTTAAAAATATGAATATTATGTTCATACCCATGTTTCTTTATTTTGTTGTTTTCCCCAACTACTCTTTGAAAAAGTTACAAATAACCCCCAAGACTAGACTTTCTATGCAAGTTACCCCCAACCAAACTTTTTTCTCACTTTTTTCCCCAAAATACACTTTTCTAGCAAATACCCCTCCAAGTAAAAAACGTACATTTTTTTTAATGAAAATACCCTTTTTCCTACATAAAAAATTTATTTTTGGCCGGACATTCACGTTGGTTTACATGGGCTACAGGATTGCTCATTGACATTGTCGGACCGCTCTTTGACATTGTCGGACTGCACTTTGGGTCGGTTGCTGGACTGCATGGGCCTGTTGTTGGTCCACTCTTTAGCAGTGTCAGACCGTTCTTTGTCAGTGATGGATCGCCACTTCTACTGCCGGACTGCCACTTGTATTGCCGGACCGCCACTGTTATTTACCGGACCAACATTACACTGTCAGACCACCCTAAGAATACGTCTGACTGCCTTTTCGTGGGTAAGAGGAAATATAGGGATGGGTAAACATATGGGAGGGTAGTTTAGACTTTTTTTTTTTTTTGCGTTGGGGGTATTTGCTAAGAATGTATATTTAGGATAAAAAGTGAAAAAAGAAATTTGGTTGGAGGTAACTTGCATAGGAAGTCTAGTATTATGGGTTAGTTATAATTTCCCAAAAATTTATTTAACCTACCGGCTAAAATTCCTTCAGATTTCAGAGTATCCATATTCTAAAAAGTTCTCTCAAAAAAATCCTTGACCTCCAACGACTCCATGTGAGCTTGTTGGGCTCCAAACAAAACTTCACATTTAGAAAATCCATTCTTAAAATCCGAAGTTCTTTGGGAAAGCCTTGGCTTCCACCAAGCCTCATAACTTTAAAAGGATATGTACGTAATTTTTCTAAAATTTTAACTATTACTAGATGTCACTATTTGCTAACATCCTTTTTATCAAAGAACATGTATACTATGCTCCTAGTGGAGCATATTGTACATCTATTTCCATGGGTAGAAGACCTATTTGGGAGGATTGTTTTTTTTTTAAATTGAGAATCACCTAAGAATTTTGATTTTCTAACACGTCGGTCTCACCTCCAAAAAATTGGACGGTATCTATTTAATCTTGAGACTATTTTCTTCAAGTGTATATAGAGTACATTTTTAAAAAAAATGAAGTTAGTCTATTGGTTGAAGCGGTCACATCCCTAAAAATTTTGGGGTCTTAAAGTAATTTTAAGATTGAATTTTACTGGAGAGAGTCAATAGACAATATACTCCAACGAAAGTACGAAATCTTTTGGCTTATCCAAATTAATTTAGATAATTTTGAGATTATTAAAAATGATATTAAATTTATTTCTCCCTGCATTGCAGGGCATTTGTATGGGTAGTAAATCGCTTATTCCCCATTGCCCCTAAACTCAATACTAGTATTGGGTATAGGCAGGAATAATATTTCATGAACTCACCTAGAGCACATTCCAAGAAGCCTTCAAAATGCTTTTCAGGTGTACTGGAAAATTGTTTCTTTATCTCCATTAGATATGAGACCAGCTTTGCTTTGTGGGGTAGAGTATTGGATGGACAAAAAACAATATGCTCATAGAATGAGTATAGCGGAGATGAGGTTGTTGAGATGAATGGGTGACAAGACAAAAAGGGATAAAATTTAAAATAAATTCATTCGGGAGAATTTAGGTGTGGTACCAATAGGCGATAAGATGGGAGAAAACAAACTTTGGTGGGCTGGCCAAGTTTGACGCCAATCAAGTACAACACCTGTTAGGAAGTGCGAGCTAGTTCAAATGGAAGGACTAAAAATGATAAAGGATAGGCCTAAAAGGATATGGTTGAAAATAATCCTAAAAGATATAACGACTTATGACCTCACTAAGAGTATGACTTTTAATAGAGTATAGTAGCGGACCAGGATTTATGTAGCCAACCTCAATTAATTAGAAAAAAATTATGATGATGATGTCCCCTTGACATGAGACTATTTCCATATGAGATTCTAATTAGCTTTGTAGTCTAAGTCATCTACTTTGGTATTCCTCTAGAGGATTTCCTTTATTAGATAGATATAAAGATTTAAACAATGAAAATTTTCAATAACGATTGAAAAACACTATTTTCCATGTTCATGGGAAATAATTTCACAAACAAGTAATTTATGATTTTTTTCATATTAAACAAGGTTGACCTTCCAAGTTACACGGTATCAAATATATTTATATTTTGTTTGCAAACATTTTCTTGATTTTTTTATGAGTGCACCAATAATAATGTCACATACACATTAATTATGACCTATAAAGATGATTAATATCGACAAATAATATTGTTGGCTAACCCTTAACTATAGAAGCAAAATCTAATAGATGTAGGTCTTCTATATAAATATCTATGTAAAAATCCTTTAAAGTAATGTGTGAGTTTAAAGATACGAAAATATAACACCTATAAGGAAATCCTAGAGTTTCCCATGGACAGATTTATGTCACTTTTCTGCAATTTCAAACCCCAAGCCCAGATGAGAAAGGAAGGGAGTTGTATTACATTGGCAGCCAACGAAAAACTTTTGATACATCCCTATCATAAATAACCGACCTCCACCGTCATTGTAATATTTATGCTCTTATAAAAAAATAAAATTAATAAAATTTATGCTCTTATAAAAAATAACATCCTCATATAGTTGGAATAAGACTATAATGATGATTTGTCACTTTTTCAAAAATGAAATCTCTCTCGTATCGTTTTTGATAAAAAATGATCACCCCCTCCCTTCTCCTAGGCATGGTCTCACACTTTAATTAGTCCATCTCTCTTGGTCTCAAGTTTCTCCTAAGGGTGAGATTTCCATTATGGAGTGCAGTTGGCATAGGCTTAGGCTTTACAACAAAACTAAGGCCGCACTCTAAAACCCCACTAGAAATGCAATTTCACTGTTCGATACTTAAACCAAGGGTTCAAGTTCAATACTGGTTTTAATTATGGAATTTGAATCTCCAAAAATAATGCAGCTCTCACCAATATACAAACGCCTAAAAATATATAGTTCAAATAATATGTTTCCAAAACACATTATTTTTAAGGCCTGGGAAATTTTATTTTGTTTGTCCATAATAATAGAAGTTGGGATGATCAATTCAAGGATATTCCAGTGCTAGCACTGCAACATCCTGAGATTTGGTCTTCACTAAAATGTAATCACTAGAAGAAAAAGTGAGCATATATGGAAGTGCAAGAGTGAGCCTTGTTATTGCTTGATTGAATACCAGTTTCCAAACATTCAAACTTAAGATTTCTTTTATTAGAGAAAATTCTGCTAGCCAAAGCCACCTGAAACTCCAAAAAACATTATAACACCAGTATGACCCGATTTCACATCTAATGGCTAAGAGTAATTATAACATTTTTGTACTCGAAGAAAAATCTTAGTGTACTTTGCTTCAGTCCTTTCCAAAGGGTCTATACAAAATGGTGAAAATTGGGTGAACTCAATCTCACAAACAAAACCGAAAAGTCCAAATTTTGACCTGTTTCCAACCAAACAAATGCATGATCAAACTCTTTCTTGAATATAATCCAAACCATCCCTTGTTTGATTAAATGGCCAGGATATGTACTAAGGACAAAAAAAAGAGAAAAGCACACCCATGTTTCTCTTTTTCTCTCAATGGTGATTTTCTGCATATTTATGTGAAAGCTTTCCCACTTTTACACTATCTCCATCATCGGATTAAAGAGAAATAAATGACAAGAAAAGGCCTTTTTTATGCAATATCAGGTTCCAAATTTCTAAGGTAAGCTCCATCATTCTGATAATCACAATTCTTTCTTATTTTTTCTTCGGAAATAGGCAAAGAAACTAATATAAGAAACAAAAAAAGGTCACCCCATTTATATTCAGGTAGCCATCACCTGCTTCCTCGTGCAGCAGCAGGAAGAGGCTGAACAGCGGCAAGAGGATTCACATGGACGGAAAATGCAAGCTGCCAGGCATCTACTAGAGCCTTTCTTAAAGCCAAAGCCTGCTTCACAATGGTGCTGAACCAAGAATCAAGCAAAATACTATAAATCAATAAATTCTACAACTTTATCATTAGAAATTCATTTGTATGAAGTCACCCCAAAAGAGTATCATGCCTTCAGGTATAACAGAAAAGGAAGAAGTGCATGTTGTTGCATAGCACTAAAATTTTGAAAAATTGGGACATACCTGATAACATACATATCACAATTTCAGATTACTTTCCCTAATCAGTTTCAGCGATATTTTTCCAAAAATTTTCGCAAATCACAACAATACTTTAAAAGTATTGAAAATAGATGTTGTCTTCCTAATATAACAATAAAAAGTTGAAGCTGCCATCCCATATTCCAAAGCACTCAAAAATATATGTACTAAACCACCCCCTAAAATTTCATGTTGTTTGTTGCTCTCAAAGATTAGATAAAGAGATTGATAAATAACATGTTTTTTGTGTTTTACGTCCTCTAAATATGTCAGAAAATCCCATGCCCTTGTGTGAATGTGTGTCGAGCCATGAATGGGAATGCATTTGCAGGTCTGGAGATGATGTAAAGTTTGTAAGAGAAGCGTCAACTTATGAGGATTAGAGGAATCTTACCGCTTTATGATATCGTGTTTCCTATGGAAAATGTAGTAAATAAAGAAGACCAATGATCCCCATATTGCGATCTTTCCATGAGCGGCCAGTAAATGCATGTAACCAAACTTTGCATTAATTTTACGGAACCACATGTGTAATGCGTATACAGGCTTCTTTAAAAGCACTAAAGACTTATGGTTGCCTCCTGAAATGGATCCACAATCATTTCCTGTGTGCCTTGGAGGTTTTGCCTCAACAACTCCTGAATACCCATCCCCTCCAGATTCAGCGAATCCTTTACCAGAAATGGCAAGACCTCCCTTTCTCTCAATCTGCTGAGCTGAAGAACTGGCTTCACTAAGAGAAGCAGCAGCGTGTAATTTTCTCAACATTCCCTACAGAAATAAGTAGCATTCATTGGTCACTGTTATTTTTTGATGTAAGCTGGGCATTCAGATGGAAAGCCAAAGAAGCACCAAGAAGATGGATTTATCCGTAAATGTTTAATGGGTTCATCAAGGAGAACTGTGGCAATATTATGTTATAATAAAATACTAAAACCATACAAATGGCAGCACAAATGAGAGAATGCTGGTGTCTTTCTAGTATGGTTGATATACCATGCAAATACCCAAAATGGATAACTTCTTGTCATCTTTGATAGGCAGTGAAGATATAGATACTGCAAAACCAATTGCTAGACCCCAGATGTAAATATCCTGATATCCAACATGGATAAAAAAGATATATTATCGAGTACCATATACAGTACAAATTCATGAAAGAATAAAGACTAAGATATAGAGCAAATTTTGGCATCGTTTAATTACCTTATTATTTGCACACTAAAGAAGATAAATCCTCAGGGTCCTAACATGCAACCAGAGAACTCCAATAACTTGAGACTATTAGCACATGTTTGAATGTACTCATTATCACTGATTATTCACTGTTTAAATAAAACTAATCATGATAATAAATTATCTGTTCTTTGGCAATGTCCATCATAGAGTTATCTAATAAACTTATGGGCAGTTTCACATATGAGTTCATCGTTTGAAAAGCCGTTTTAATTTATTCAAAGTAATTTGCTGAAAATCACATGTTTTTACAATACATAGCTAAAATGGCTGAAAATCACCACCATCATCGTCATCAAAGCCTTTTCCTAACAAATTGGGTTCAGCAATGGCTGAAAATCACCAAAGAAGTTAATAATATATGTAATACAAGGAGCGTATGTCCAAAGTATTATATTATTTAGGATAAGATAGTTTATTCCAGATATAATTAATTGTCATCGAAACAGGTCCTTAATATACAATGACTCGAAACCACAACAACCAGGTATACAACTGTTAACCTTCATGAAAATTACCAGGTATACAACTGTTAAAAATAATGTGCAAGCAAAGCCGCAAGCAAATTTGGTTTAATGCCCACAAAACACTCGTTTTGGCAATAAATAGAAGGATGTCAAGAAAAAGAAAAAAAGGTTGGAAAGATATTAGCTTGTACCTGCCTTTCCTCTTCCAATATATCAGCATTCTCCAACCATGACATCGCATGCTTAGCATTCTTCAAAATCCTCCCATGAAGGACAACAGCATAAAATTCTGCAACCTTCAAATACTCTTCAGTTCTCAGGGAACACTGACGAATATATTTCTGAGAACATGAGTTTTCTGTTTCCAAGTTTGCAAGGACATAACAAGATAGACCTTCAGAGTACTTCCATTTTCCAAGGAACTCCTCCAAGGTCACTCGAAGAGATGATGCACATCCTTCTGATATTTGCAAGCACGCTCTGATAAATCACACCAAGAAAATCGACGACATCTAGATTCAAAATATTTTACAAGAACTAACAATCAAGCAATAATGGAAACCAATGCTCATTATACCCTTATAATAGGTTTTAAGTATACCCGGTAACAAGAGCTTGAATAGGAATGGCTGTCACTGAACCAAACAAAACTTTCAACTCATGCAACATCTCTTGAGTCCTGAATTACAACCAAGAAGAAGGAAAGTAAATCAAGTTTCTACTTCCATATCACTTTTATAAAGTAACTTGGAAACAAGAAAATGCCATGAGATTAAAAATGCCCTAAGTCCTTGGTTTCCCATGAGATAACACTAACTATTTATGCTAATATTTTCAAGAAGTACCTTCAACAATTATTAATACAGCAACATAACAATGAGCAGACCATGATAGCTAAAGGCAAAAGGAGACATTTGGATGCCAATAGAAAAACAGTTCTCAAAATGATCTCCACTTTTGTGAATAAATTTTTTCAAAAAAGTTAACTTTCAAAGTTGATTAGAAAGGAATGTAAAACAAAAGGCATCAAAAGCATTAAATTACAATGGGGTGCAAAGTGCAATGAATCTAAAAAACACAGTTCATCTCTAAAGAACCCACCTTTGATGGGAGAATCTGTGTTCATGTTGGCTTTTCTATAGATTTAATGAAAACAAACCTCCATAGAGCAGATAGACTCTAATTTTCATGAGCAAATAAGTCTTCCTTAGCCAGGACTTTCTCACAGAACAAATGCACAATATTCACTGAATCCACACAACTACCGTTTTCCTTAGCCAGGACTTCCTTAGCTTTGACCTTCTTGAGTTAAACGTCAAAGATCGAAGAAGCAAGAGCCTCCTTAATTACAGCATCTTGTTCTAGTCCTGAAAAAGATTTGATCTGAGAATTGAGCCTTAATGTTAACCACGGAGGCATCTCCCTATACCTGATTCCTGTACTATGAATGTTTCCTTCGAAATATAAAATCATTAATTCACCACCACAATCCAACCTTACCACTCTATGATTACCCCTAGAATCTTTTCAGGTGCTTAGAGTCATCTTGATCCATTCCTCTACCGCTATATTTTTTTTTTTTGAGAAATGTTAACTTCTGTAAAGACAGTAAATTATATATATAGGAAGAACTACAACCAAAAAAGTATAGAGAAAGAGCAAGACTGCTCATAGGGGGAGAAAGAGAGAAGTTCCTAATTAAGACCAAGACACGGTCTCTTGAAGGCCAAAAGGAAAGAACAAAAGATAAATAACAAAAAGAAAATCAAAACCAGAAAAAATCCTAAAAGACCAATAAAGCCAAAGAACACTTAAAAAGCCTGACGACATAAGAAACTGGAAAAACACAAAGAGAACTAGAGGTATTATGGCTCAGTTTGTTGATTGGCATCCCGAGGGTGTAATGATGAGCACTGTGAAGTACTGGGCCTGATATGATTGTAGGGGTACTAGCAGGTACCAACTAAATTTGAAGTCCTGTGGGCAGGGAGTTGACGAGCTTCCTGTCCTGATTTTGAGGGGCATTTGTCCTTACTAGCAACAGTTCTTCAGGGTACAGAGTCGCACAGGAGTAAGAAGAGAGAGAGAAAGAGAGAGAGAGAGAGAGAGAGAAGAATGAGAGGGATAGGATAGGCAGACAGAAGATAGAAGACAAGCTCAGCAAGTGAAAGGCTGAGTGGGGGAGAAGATGTGAGGAAGTAGTGGAAAGGAAAGGGGTAGGGGCAAGGGGGAAAGAGGGGTAAACCAAATAAATAAAATTGAAAGATGGACTTGACAGTTGGGCTCTTGTTGCAGCACTCCTTCACAGCAGAGGGTCTTCGAAGCATGGAAACCTCTCAGGGGTCAAGGGAGCAGTGAGGGAGAAAGAATACATGCAGGAAAGTTCCAGCTTCTTCACAGACCTAAGAGGGAGAAATAAAGAGAATAGAAGACCTCAGGAGGTTGCCATGGCTTAATTCGTGAGGGAGAAACGACAGAGAGGGGGGACCCCTCTCTGGGGGCGGGGGGGTGGGGGGATAGGAGCATGAAAGAAAAGGATGAAGAGCGCGAGAGGAGATAGAAAGGTTAAATAAAGTGAGGTTAAGAGGATAAGTACAGAAGACCCAGGTAAGGCAAAGAGACTAAAGTGGGAGAAAGAGAAAAGTAGCAGAATAGGTAAAGATGGGTGGGGATGGGGTACATGGTTAATAGGGCTGGGGTGAAAGTCAAAATATCAGGGTTTATCTTTCCTTCATTTTTTTCCATTTTTTCCCCTTTTTTCCCCCTGCTTTTCTTTTTCTTTTTCTTCTCCTTTTTTTTTTTTTTCCTTTTCCTTTTTTCCTTTCCCTTTTTTTTTCCCTTTTTCCTTTATATTCTAGGCTCAGATGGGGGTAAGACGAAGGAGGGGAGGTTAGGCAGTTTGGAGAGAGAAGATTGAGTGTTAGAGATCCTAAGGGTGAGACAGTGCACCTGGGCCCCAATTGATTCCTTTTGCCAGTTGATCAACTTCTTGAAGATGACCTGTGGTAGAGAGCTGCACAAAAAGTGGATGTGCTAAAAAATGGAGTCGAGCATATCCAAGGAGGTTCCTGCTGGTGTGTTGCCCAAACTATACTATTTCTGGAGTCTGACTCGATAAATGTCCCTTCTGCAGAAGACCCTATTGCTGCCACATGTTTGAGACCCTCAGCAACGCCAAAGCCTCCGCATAAGTGGAGTCTTTGAAACCTATAAATTCAGACAAAGTCCACAGGGTCGTAGATGAATCTGCAAGAAAACCCCCCCTATTCCCAAAGGTCCAGGGTTCCCCAGGGAAGATCTATCTACGTTTCTTTTCAGGAAAAAGGAAACCAGGTGGTGGGGGTGTCCAGAGAGGCTTAGGTCTGTTGGTAGAGGAGATAGGGATGGAAGCAAAAGTTGGTATGGATTTGGCGCCGAGGGACATAAGGGTTGAGATAGTTTCAAAAATGGATTGCTGAGTTTTGAGGGTTCCTCTGAAGGGTCTAGCATTTCACTCAAGCCGCAAGCTCCATAGCAAAGCTGCAACAGATAAGTGCCACAGTTTTTTCCCTTCTTTTGAGAAAGTGGGGTGGAAAGGATTCAAAAAGGCTATTCAAGGTTGGGGGGGAGGGGGGGGCCGTTTGTGACCCATTGTAAACCACAAAGCTTAAGTAATGATGACCATAATTCTATACTATAGAGACCTCACAGGGATGGGAGATATTCTCCTCCTCCTCAAGACAGAATGCAACGGTTAGGGAGAAGGGCACCCCTAGGTTGAAGTTGGTCCAAAGTTAGAGTTTTACCTTGTAGGAGTATCCTACCATGCCCATGCAGGAACACAACTGACAATCCTATATTTGCATGCTCCCATAAGCCCTGAAAGATTGTAAGCAATCACATTAAGAGCAACCCTATACAATGGTGGGCCCAGCATAAAATCAAGATCAAGCCAAAGATGTAGAATGTGCGAAACAATGAATTCCTTGCTCCTGCCATGAGCTCGCAATAGACCAGGTGGTCAAAACCCATTCCGATCATATACAAAATGGAAAACTAGAAGACCATTTTTTATCATGATTACCCATGGGAATCATGCCTTATACAGTCAGCCGCCCAAAAGCGGCCACAGCGCAAGATTGCAAACCTCCCCAATAAAATATTCCTACGAAGTAAGAATGAAAATCCCCACTAAAAACCACATAGATACGCCAATATAGAAACCTAAGTAGCCAAATCATTCACAAATGAAGGAACCAAGGTTTCTCATAGAAGCTGTTTGTAAGTACTTTTATAGGTTTCGTTGAAGGAAAAGCTGAGAGGTTTTATATGGACCTCTTCAATATTGATAGTTTACCAATTATGGATGGATTGACCTGGATTAAGATATATCCAAATAAGAACATTGCTCCATCGTCAAAAACACAATACTTCTCACTTGCTTTGGTGTGTAATGGAGGAACGAATTAATAAAGTGGCAATACCTTGCACCAATTTAAATCTACATACAAATATCTCTCTATTGCTTTGCAATGGGAATGGCCAGCTTATATTCCTTGGGTGTAAAAATGAATCATGAAACATTGACAGAATCTCTATTTTCCAAGATAATCATCTTTCTTTATTCGTTATTCATTATTCAATTCTCTCCCTAGTTGACAATTTGAGAATAATGGGTAATAATTCTCCTATACAATAAGTGGTAACCCAAGTTAAATTCATGGCCCACTTCAGGGTCAGTTGATGTCCCTGAAGCATCCATGACCATATCTCATGTCAATCCTTCATGTCCCTCAACCTCATCATCATCAACTAACCACTCCATAGCATGGTCCATATTTTTTTATCTGATGGGGTCTCTCTTAGCAAACCTGTCCTTCAAGAATTGATTGTACTTGACATAGACTAGGTCATTGAGCCTCTTTGATTCAAGCATATTCATTTTCTTTATATGAATCTAACAAAATCAAATGAAACTAATTAAAAAATCTAATATCTATGGTTCATGTATTATTTATAAAATTATACAAATTACCCTTACGGCCTTACCCCTTCAAAAGTACTCTAATTGCGCTCACAACTGGATGAAAAAGTGGTTAGGTTTACGATCCGAATGGCCAACTTTTATAAATTTGGAGAACTACACCCATGTTGGCTCCACCAATGGGCTGCAAAGATAAAAAAAATCATAAATAAATAATAGAATTACTTGATTACTTGAACTTGATGAAGATGAACTTAAGAATATTATTAATACCTACATTAATTTTGGCCTTTGCCTCATTGCCATTGGGCTCCCAAAAGACTTTAGTGAGCACTTGTAATTTATCAGCTCATCAGCGCATATAATATCCTGTATATCAGGATCAGGGACTAGCACCTCTACACACTCATTAAATCCATTCATAATTGTGTCATTTGTTTGCATATCCTTGTCAATATAAAAAAAAGCTAGATTCAAATAATGGCCGATGTAGCTGCCTATCCTACTTCTCATCAATAATCTCCCAAACATGCTTGTAGCGGGTTTCTTCATCATTGAAATTTTGGGCTATCTCTCTTTTGCATTTCTCCACAGCATCATATATGTAGCCCATAGATGGCTTGTCACTATCAACCATGCGAAAGACTTTGACAGGAGAAAAAAATACCTTAACAGAGTCATTTACCCCTCTCCAAAAAGCCTTAGAAAGTATAATATTTCTCACCTTCTTCCCAAACTGATCCTTAACCACTTGCATGCTCTCCACTCATCAGAGATAAACATTTGCCTCAACTGCACTCTCCTCAAATGTTTGCTATCTAGGCATAAGTACCAGGTCGCAAATCTCGTGACCCCAGGCCACACAATCTTTTTCTTCTTTGTAGAGGTGCGCATCATGTAGAGGGTGAGATGGTGGCTATAAATGAAATTTGTAACTAACTTGGCCTTCTTCACTGCACCTGATATCTCGGTTAAACCGCCAAGAGCCTCAAGCACGAGGTCTATACAATGTGCTGCATATAGTGTCCAAAAGATTCTAGGATAAGCTATTCGCAACAAATTAGATGC